CAGCCTTCGACGATGCGATCGCCGAACTGGACACGCTGTCTGAGGAGAGCTACAAAGATTCTACCCTCATAATGCAACTCCTCAGGGACAACCTTACTCTATGGACGTCGGATATGCAGGGAGACGGTTAGTGTCCCATTTACTTACAGAGGAAAAACTGCTATAGGGATGTTTTGATTACGCTAGAATGCGTTGCGCGAAGTATCCCGCCTATTTTCGATCGACCGACACGTAGACGAATATTATGCATTGTGATAGAATGATTTTATCTCGTCTCACGTAATTTGCCTAAGGTGTCTCAGAAGCTACATGCTTCATCATGATTAGAAATATAGAAAAAAAATGAGAAACTTGTTTTTTTCAATGAACATATCTTTTATTAAATTCTAGAAACAAAAGGAACTTTTTTAGCTTTATAATTCCAATTGTGGTCTTTTTTTATTTCTGAGTTTACTGCTGAGATAAAGTAGATAAATATTTTTGTCTGAAAATTGCAAATGAATGATCTAAAATTATCGAAAGATTAGGGATACGTGTTTTACATTCAGATTCATTTCACATTGCTTCTAATAGAGTTTTAAATTAGAGTTTTTTAATTTGACATACAGGATTTATTAACCAGCGCAACTTGTGGCTCACCTATAAATTTTCTGCGACCTTACGGCTCATAATTGGGAATATAAAATTATATTTTCTATTTTTTATGCAAACGAAATGAACATTATCTGATCCAAAAGATTTTATCTATTTCTAAAAGTAACCTGAAAATGATTCTTATAAAAGGTTGCGTATTATTGCATTGATTTACTCATTTTAAGTTCTATATATACATAGTTACTCAATAAATTGATTAACAATTTTGTATAAATTTTTAATACTACAATATATGATGTGAGAATTATGGATGATTTAATATTTTTCTGAAGAAATATTGAATATCGGATTTATGATGTTAGAGGATCAAATCAATAAAACATTAAGATCATGAGATATTTTCTCTCGCTAATATTTATATTTATATTTCTGCTGTAAGCTTGTTTTAAATTTATTTTAACTTGTAAGAAAATTGTGCGGTTTTCGAACGCGGAATTAATACTTTGTAATTCAGAGTCCGAGTCTGATGAACAAGACGCTGTTGATATCCACGATGCCTGAACATAGATATCCTTTTCCTATCGTCCTCATCCTCCCAGCGTATCTGCACTTGGTGAGCGACATAATTCTTATACAATCGTCACCATCTTAAAAGAAATAAAAAAAAAAAGAGAAAACATCGCAAATTGAATTTATTTAAAATTATCTCTTCAAATTGCTTCACTTATCAAACATTATTTATTTGACATGCATTGTTTAGGTGCGTTCAACTAGATTATTTACTGACATATTTCGTATTTTTATTGCGCAGGTGAAGCTGAACAAAAGGAGCAGCTGCAAGATGTGGAAGACCAGGACGTATCGTAACTCTAGCTGTAGTGAGTGTTATCTTGCGCATATAAAACTGAGACACAAGAAAAAAACTCTTAAATAACTCGTAAGCAAAAGAAAAAAAAACCAATTCAGCAGGTGGCAGTTCGGGGTGGGAAGGGGAGATCTTTAGAAATTTGCGTGACCCTTTAAAAAAAGCACGCACTGTATGGTTACTTCAAAACAAAGCAGCAGCAGCAGCAGCAGCAGCAATAGCAGCAGCAGCAGCAGCAGTGACAACAAAATACAACAGCAACATTAATAAATAAATAAATCTTTTAGTTCATCCGGCATTATATTACGTACACATACATACAATTGAGTTACAGAACATGCAGAAAGTAACGAGACAAAAGGGCACGCACCCTGCGGTAAATAGAGAGACTGCAAAGCATTTAGAAGAAAGGCACTTTTCTGTTGCCCCGTTTTTGCGTATCGAGAGAAAACGTCGTATTTGCACTTTGTATGCGTCCGATAAATGTGCAAACGACGTCGAGAACGTCGAGCCGATGTCGATGCCGGCGCCGGTCGATTTAATCTCGGCAATTCAGATTTGATTTCCGTCACAGTGAGAACGAATTGTATGTCCTATATTTTACAGTGAAAGAGGAACAAAAAGGCGTATGGATTGCACGATGTCATATCGGGATATATTTACATGACTGTCCGTTCTTACATCTCCATCACCTGGAGTTCTCCTCTTCCAATTTCCTCCTTTTCGTTCCTCGCTTTTTTTTTTTTTTTTTTACTATACGCACGATATTCTATTCCACGCGTCCTGTAATTATTACGGTGTTTATTAGCGTGTAAATTGATTTATTTCGAAGACAATTTGCACTTCTCTTTCTCTCTCTCTCTCTCTCTCTCTCTCTCTCTCTCTTTACGGAAATAACGGCGGCGCCTTCATTGTCAGTTGTCAAGACGGATCTCGCTTTCGAGCTTGTATCCTGTAAAAGATATGTACTTCCAACAAGATCCGACACAATTGTAATGTTATAGATAGCAGAAAAGAAAAATTTTTAAATGCATGGATTCTTGGCATAGCCGAGCTGAGGAGAAGAGAATGTGCTTACTTCGATTGCCCCCTTCTCCCCCTCTCCCACCCTCTGTACCTCGTCAAATGCAATAACGCCTGATTTTGTGAGCTTTCGAATGGAGACCGCGTCGCGAAGGAGCTCTGTAACATGAGCGAGAAGCGGTAAAACGTATCATCGAAATTCTCTGACGACGATCTCTCGATTTTCGGTTCTTTTACGCATCTCTTCCGAGGCGAATGCGTCCCATCGCGTCAGCTCGATGAGCAGCGTCGTGATAAAAAAAAAAAGTGAAAAAAAGAAAACGAAAGAAGGGGAAAAATGAAAAAGATTACGTTATCGTAGGTGAGCCTTTTTAGCGCGTTACGTTACTCACAGCAAACAAAGTAACTATCTAGCTAGTCTGTAATGTGGTTGTACGTTTTCATACGCCCGTTGTGTAAACTAAATATCGATTGCTGTGGTATAAGAACAGAATAAATGATTGTACCCCGACTTTTTCCACCCGCACATTTACACACGCAATTTACGCTATATATATGTATATTATATATA